CACTTCTGGCCTTGCTCAAGTATTGTCCCTGCTCTGATATGGAGCCAGCAGTGGAGCGCAGTGTAGAGCTGCAGGGGGCAGCCACACAGGGTAGGCACGCAGGGGTGGCAGGCAGGGCTGGGGGAGAGACCCGGCCCAGAACATTGGTGGAGCCGGGCCCCCTGGGCCCTGAATTTGCTGGAGCCCAGGCACCACGGGCTCATACAACTCACGACCCTGCTTCTATGGGTAACAAAGTTCAACAATTACTGACTCTCTTCCAGGTCTTCAGCTCCCTCTCTGGGCTGCTCCCTTACTCAGGGCTTAAGCCACTTCCCTAGTGGCTGGTGGGGGGACCCTATAAGTAGCACCAGCCTACTGCTTCCCTTTAACTACTTGCTATGTTTCCAGAGGCCTCTTCTTCCTTAGCCCGGGTACCTTCCTTGCTTTTCTGGATCCAGCCAGCATTGACCTGTCCAGCACTGCAGCCGGCCAGGAGCACCAACCTTGCTTTTCTAGCTGTAACCAGCAACTAATCTGCTCTGGCCAGCACCTCCTTTTTTTAGGAGCCTGCTGAACTATTATTGGCTGCTCCCTGCAGCCTCTCTCTGAATGGCTGCTTCCCTGTGCCCTCTCTAGATAGCCTGGCGGACCTACCTCTACTGTTCCCTTTCCTGGGGCAGGGTGTGGTAGGACTGTGAAGCCTCCAGAAGTGCTTTGACATCTACGGATGAAATGCATTATACAAGAGCTGAGTATTCATTAATTAATTAATTTATTATTATTATTACAAGGGTGTGCAGGGACCATGCTTAGGAGCACTTTCTACTTCTATACAAAATGTGTATCTTTCACTCCATCCTGAGATGCCCTTGTAGCTAATCACTGCTAACTGGTGTGCAGCAGTACTGGTGGGTAGTCATGGTGTGACAGATTTTCGTTACCAATCTGCCTGGAGCGTCAGTTGATCAGGCTGACGCCACAGGATCGTTTGGGGAGGAGATGACGAAACACATCAAGTGTCTAGATTTTAAAGCTTTATTGATAAAATAATAAAATAACAGCAGCGAGTGCTGGGACTGTTCCCATGTCACTCAGGGGAAGAAAGGAAGCGTTAATGTCCCCAGACCCTAACCCACTTTCATACTCACACCCGCACTACCCAGACTGGCCAAGTCTTTGGGGTGGTTTCATTCCTGGTGCTCTTTGTAGTAGTCCAAACAGGCTTGCTACGGTCTCTTTTCCTTTTTCAAAACATCCTGGCTCCAGAGACTGTTTTTTGGGGTTTTTTTTTTTGGTCTTGGCTTTCACTGGTCTTGCTGTTGTTTTTGCAGCTCTGTGTCTCACTTAGTTCTTCTTTTTTCACAGCTGGTCGGGAGGGTTGGACTCCTCCCCCCCACTTCTGTCTTGGCGGGTAGCAGCTGGTCTTGGGACTGAGCTTGTTAATTGCAGTGTTGAGTTAACCCGTTCTCTGCTTTTTTCTTTTTTTTCTCCCCCTCCATTCTGGCCTTTTGTGACCTACGGAAAAACCTTCCACTCTTCACTTACACACCTTTAACCCTCCCCAAAATGCTTTGCGATGCTTGCAACAGCGTTAGCAATATACAGTGCTGATCTGCCTTCCCAGGGGACTCCCTGTGGGGGGGGGCAATTGGGTTGTGACAATGGCCTCACCCACATGTCCTTTGGAACATACAGCACTGCCAACACTGAGCCTGAATCAAAGCTCATTGAAGTCAGGGAATCAGGCCCACTGTTAACAACCTCTCCTCTTCCACTCAGGAAACATAAGCAGCCAAATTATGGATGCCTCCTCTACAGATGTGTTGGAGGTAATTAGGGTTGCCAACCCTCCAGGATTGTCTGTGAGTCTCCAGGAATTAAAGATTAATTTTTAATTAAAGATTATGTCATGTGATGATACCTCCAGGAGTACATCCAACCAAAATTGGCAACCCTAAAGTGACTCACTACACCACATGGCCTGTGAGATCTTTGAGGTAAGATTGTCACTTACAATGTGTGTGAACAGTATCCAAAGAAGCCCAAATTGCAGTTCGGTCCTTGAGGCACTTGTGCAATATAAAGAAGAAAAAGAAAAGCAATGAGAACTGGTAGATAAAATGTGGATCTATCTTTGACTGTTGATCAGAGCACCCTGTTTGGTCTATTGGGTAAATGTTTGATTTTGGAAACATAATTGGAAGCATTTTGTATGTGTATTATGAAGATCCACTAGATGTCAGAATAACCAAAGCATGAAACTAATAGACAAGAACTCTACGAACAGGAGAACTAGGACCGGGATGTCTGTAGAACAATATTTATAATTTACAAAACTAAACTGGGAAATCATAGTGCCTTTACATGTAGAAGAGCAACTGTTAAATTCAATTTCTGACTTTCACTTCATGTTATAAAAAAATCATCTGGGAAACATAGAAACTGCACTAACCAATGAGACCCATGGTCCATCTGATCCCAGATACCTCTCTCAGACACGGTTTGTTTTCACTAGTGATTTGTAGTTAATATGTTGGTAAAAGCAAGCATGGACATTCCCCAAATGTTTGTTCCAGGCATAGGCCAAATGTGGTAACTACCTTGAGCTGTCAGTTAATTAATTTATACAAAATCATACCCATGTTAGCCAATACGTCTACATTGCTAAATATACTTCAGTGGAAGCAGTAAGAATCCCCAAAATGGACTGTGACATTCCCCAGGGTACAATCCGGACAGTTGAGGATACACAGCTACTCAACTCTCCCATTGGGGTGCCTTTTACACTGCTTCACTGTGCGAACAACTACCCTGGCCTGTTTATACACAGACTCTAGCATTCAACCTCACTCCCAGCTGAATTACATGAGTGCTTCTAGCCAGCCACTCCTGAATTGTATTGCAGAGTGACACCAGTGAATTCCCAGTCCCAGACTTGTCCCCAGAAATGTACATCTTGTACTGGCCAGCTCTTTCCTTCTGTACTGTACAAGCTTATAGAAAGTCCATCATTTCATAAATAGAAAATGATATGCACAAACACTGCTATCTCAAATTAAGTTTCTCAAACACTTCAATCCAGACATCCACGGTTTAGATAAAAGAAGTTTATTAACTATGGAAAGATAGATTTTAAGTTATTACAAATAATGAGGCAGAAAAGTCAGAGCTGGTTACAAAGAAATAAAAGGTAAAAGGCAAACTATTACCTAACTTAAACTAAATGAATTTAAAGCAAAAGGTTTCTCTCACCATATGTTTACAGCAGTCTGGCTGGATTCCTTCAGCCAGGACCACTCCCCCAATTCAATGATCCTTCTTTTGTCTTTCAACTGTTGTTGATGCCGTGAGGGGAAAGAGGTGATTTAGGGCCTCTGTTCCTCATTTTTATATCTTTTCCTCCTTTTTGAGAATCACCTTCATCTGGGGTTCAGGTGAAGCCAGTCTGTTTACATGGGAACCCCCAGCTGTGCCATTACCAAGATGTACAGTTCTTACTCCCGCCCTTCTTCATGCCAGCCACTTACCCCGTTGATAGTCCTTTTGATTGTGTTGACACCTGGCTGAGGCTTCAGTTTGCCTTTTGTCTCCGAGGAACTGGTCTGGGCTGCTTTCCCAGACTTGGAATATCCCTTAATAACATCATACATAGAATCTTATGACTTTACATACAATGTTGCCATATATATTTTACCAGAACAATAATGCTCAGCGAATTATGAGTTTTCAGATGATACCTCACAAGGCATAGTTTGAACAAGATTTATCATAGTTTTGTAAAAGTGATGAACAAAAAGGAAAACAGTGTGTCACATGGACAGTTATGGAATAATTAACCCATGGAAAAGTTCCTCTCCAGCCCCTCCCTTATAAAATAATTTCACCCCATCTAATGTAACTATGGATGTTTTCATTACCCATAGAATGGATGATCCTTTACCATTTCTGCAGTGTCACATCACACAGCATGATGTTGCAAGTTGGGCTTGCAGGAAATAGGAAAGATGAATGAAAAGCCATTTTTTGAATAGCTTTTCCTCCCTGGTGCCACATGCAGTTGCTTCTATCGTATGCTGTGATAGGTGGCATTCCTGCTCATTTGGCATGTATTGTCTTCTCTTCTACTATTTTGCTTTTGTTCTTTTGTTAATAGTTTAGAATTGGAAGGTTGCACGTGTGATTGGTGATTATATCAGGAAGAAAGTGTTTTCCATATGCTCATTTGTAGATACTGTATGGGCCTGATCCTGATAACAGGTAAACACCTGCATAACTCTCCTCCCATGAGTAGAGTCGTGCAAGTACGTAAGCATTTGCAGGCTCAGAGCTATATATTTTTGTTTCCTACTCACTTTACGTAACTGAAAGGATGTGAAAGGGATGTATACAAATGACAGATTACAAATCTATCAATTTTTTTTTATAAAATCTCTCATTCCTGATAGCTAAGCAACTGGAAAACAAAAATAGAAAGTCATCGTTTTTGCTATTTTTTGTTAATAAGCACAGAATACCTAAAGTTGCAAAAATCTTGCAAGATTAGAATTAAATTATACTCTAGATTGTCATTTATACTCGTGTCTTACGCTACTGAGTACATGCTTTTAAACTCAGTATTTTGTCTATGTACATGTACTGTAACATAGCATAAAGTCATTGAAAGCAGAACAGAAATACACATAAATGCACATCTATTTTAAAGTCAATTCACTTAATTTTCAAATGTATTACAAAATTAAGTCTTCACTTATATATTTTAAAAATCACAAACAGAACAAATTAGGATAGATTCCTACTGAGCTTTCATCTTAAAATTAGTTCTATTACATTCTGATCTCATCGAATCCCCTTCTATTTTTCTTGTGTAAAATGCAAACAGTTATACTTACAGCTATTAACAGAGCTGCTACACACCCAGCTACTATTAACACTATTGTTAAAACATTAATATCTTCATTGATAGCATCATCATTAGATGCACCAGCAGGCGAGCATTCCTTTGAAGTAACAAACAGAGCTACTTGTGCTATACTAGACACCTCTGAGGTCAGGGAGGCATTATCAACCGCACGTATTGCAAAGTAGATTATGGTGTCATTTTCTATGGTGAAATTTTCTGGTCTAAACTGAAATGATTCTTTGGTGCCGGCAGGGTTAGGTACCAGACTCGAGGTATTCACGGAAGTAGCATTCTCAAAGGTGTTTCTTAGGTCCAGAAGACTTTCACTCATTTTTATTATGTATCTTTCCGCTGGAAAAAGAGATGTATTCAGGTAAGAGTGTGTTAGTATGCCTATTATATTATCTGTAAATGCAAGGACAGCACAAGGATTTCTGGAACAGTTTTGTATCTCGATTAGATACTCCTGGGGGGAATTCTGCACCAAACAATTAAAAATTGTGCTCACACTAGTTGAAAATTCTGCAAAATTCTGCATATTTTATTTGTCAAAATAACACAATATAATCATGCCAGTTTCAATTATTTTGGCAATTTATTTTAAAATGTCTGTCAGCAAGTATGTCTGTAACAATACAGACCAAAAAAGAAAGATTCTGGTATTTTTTTTTGTGACAAATAGATTCCTTACTAGTCTTATTAATACAGAACTTTGTGTAATTTATTTAAATTACAACACAGAACTGTATTTCCTGCACCTGTTAGAAGCAGTGGAAAATCTTGGGAAATCAGGGGCAACGGAGGAGCTGAGGGAGAGGGAAGGAGCCTAGAAGTGAACGAGGGGGGGGAGGAGAAGAAGGTTTTTTTTGGATGGGAATGAGATTGCTAGGGAGTTGGGAAGCCTCCCCATGCAGACCCCGCCTGACCCCAAGCCTCTCCCATTCAGCCAGGCTCATCTGCCCCTGTTCCTGCACCCCTCCCATCCCCAGGGGTCTCTGCAGCCCCCTTTTCCCCTCCCCAGTCCCAACGCTGTCACCCCACTAGCTCCTTCGCCCATGCCCCAGTCTGTCCCCCCCACTAGTCATTCTGAACCCGTGTCTTATCCCCACTCTGTCCTAACCTGGATCCATGGGCAAGGTGCGGTGATGAACCTTTATTCCTGGGGGAATTCTGCAGCACTGGACATAGAATTGTGTATTTTCCTGCCTAAAATACATTTTGCCTAAGAACTGCTGCAGTTCTTCCTTGTGCCCACCAGAGGGCACTGTGGTTCCTGAACAGCCAGCATGAATGCGGCAGGCTGTTTTGGCGACACAGCGGCCTCTGGTGGACATAAGGTGGAACTGAAGCACTCCTTAGGCAAAATGTTTTTTATGTGGGAAAATACAAAAGTATGTGAGACAGAGGAATTCTGTGCATTCGCAGATGCACAGAATTCCCCCAAGAGTAATCCTTCCAACTGAGGTTATTCTTCCATTGCTGGCTACTCTAGCTATAAGGCTGTTTTGAGCCAGATGAGAAGTGCAAAGTAGCCACGTATCAGAACCTAGGTTAGTGCTTCGGGGATTTAATGGAGTTGTTGGTTTGTTCCCTGATGAACTGGTTGCCAAAAGCTGTAGGCATATGTAAAAATTTTAATCTGAAGCTGCTGTCCGTGTGACTGTAGGTTGCCTATCTTAACCTCTCTGTGGCTTGTGCTGATGTGCTGCCTGTAACATAACAGAGTCACGGGACCTGGTTACAACATACTTAAAATGTGTATTATAGAGGAGATCTGGCTGTGTCCCCATAAATGGACTAAAGCCTTGGATGGTCCATGGTGTAACTGGGTCCCCTGACTTATATATAGTTCCAGTGTAGACAGGGGCTAAACTGGGGAAGAGTCACTGGTGAGTGTGTTTTTGATTTAATTCGTTTGCCTTTGTAAACTAGTATTGGCTGATTGTATAAAAGTTTTGCATTTCTGCTGTAAAAGTCTCAGGGTTTGGGAATATTACATTTTTCTCATACATTTTTTGAAGGATTAAGAGGGACTAACTTTAATATCATATTGACCAGGTAATTTATGGGTTACACAGGCCTGGTTTACACTAGGAAATTTTAGAGAGAAGATCTAGTGGAGGCCAGGCCATAATGATGGTGAAATTTTGCAGATGGTGTAGGAGCAGGATTTTATAAATGTACTATGAGAATTAATGTATGATTTGAATTCATCGTGCCAGACACCCTTTTTGAATAGCAGAAAGGAATGACACTCTGGGTCTATGGAATTCTGTTTCCCATATGCATTACAAATTGGGCCCTTTTTAGTTCTTTGTTTTAAGGTTTAGATAGTAAGAGTCAGGATCCTCTATTGTGTCTATGTTAAGTAGATTAGAGGAACGTTGAAGGCCTGGGCCTCAATGTGATTTGTTTTGGTTATAAAACTTAGCAAGGTTTAATTTACAATGTCTTTTTGCTCGATATAAAATACTGCTGTTTGTATTCTCAAAGGTCTCTGTAAAAGACTGTTTGTGTGAATGAGGAATGCATGCATCAGGAAAAGGTAAGGTGTGAAGGCCATTGTTAAACAGATGGTTCAAGAAAGGTGGAGCAAAGACACTTATCGAGACTTATTGACGCCAGAGAACCATCAAAAGAATCCATGATTGAGGAAGGGCAGATTGACGACTGTGAGGTGGAAACTGGCACCCCTAAGGACAGGACAATTGATTAAATCGAAACCAGGACAGGATGACCCTCTTGGAGGTGTATTGGAATGTTTACATCAAAAGATAACACCAATTAAGGAGTAACAGATCATAAACTGACAAAGCAAAATCCATTGACTTCAACAGAGAAAAAAGACTATAAGAACAGGGTGCTTTGCCATGGGACTTTGGGTTCATCTTGCCACTACTCCAGGAGCATCAGATCGCAACCAACAGAGCTTGGCTCCCCTCTGTGACCAATCTAGCTGGCCACTAGATTGATCCAGGCTCTGGACTGGTAACTATAAACATTGACTGGCAGGACTGCGTGCATGGTGTGTGTGTGTGTGTGTGTGTGTGTGTGTGTGTGTATGTGAAAAGCATATGCTAACCACTGTATGCTCAATAAATGCGGCGTGTTGCCTTCTCCCCTATAAAAGATTTTGTATGCTTTGTTTAAGCATAACAATGGGAAAGATATAACTCTTGTCCTCTGCTTGGCAGGCTCATCATATGTAATTTCAAATAACTGACAATACTGCATCACATCCAGCTGACTAAAACAAAACTTCACCTTACCTTGTCCCTCATCCAAGTCATTCCCGGGAGCTGTCCAAGACAAGTGAATTTTATCTTCTTCATACTGAGCCTCAAGATCAACAATTTTACAGGGTGGGAACACATCAGTAGTTCCTCCTGAAGGCACATTCTTCACTACAAAAGAACCTCCTGATGCAACTCTGTTGAAACTTCCTAGCTTTGCTTGAATTTCATCATCACTAACTTCAGGTCTCGGTGCATTCATTTTGATGTCACCTGCCCCAAAAGAAAAAAAAATGCTCATGCTATTTGAACATTACAAAACTCATAACACACTTTCTTTTTATCTAGCATTCCTTCTTGTTTAATCTACTTTTTTCTTTGGTTTATTCAAACATAGTGCAAAAATTAGTGCAGCTCAGACAGAAAACAAAGTGAACTTCAGGATCCTGTATCCTTGCACAAAACTAAGGCAGACCCCAAAAGCAAACCAGATTTCGGGGTCAGTTGAAAGTAGCAACAGTGCCTATTATCAGGTAGGGTGATTAAGGTATTGAGCAGGTGTCAGTGGGAAGTGGTTGTGATAAGGTAACTTTCACCCATTCCTTCCTAGGCAGCAACAGAATTACAACCTTGGAGGCATTTCCTTACTTTTGGGGGTTTAAGTTGGACACATTTTTATGTAGACTTTTTAAATTCAGTATATTCTAAGTTTCCAGAAATACAGAAAAATCTATCTGTGTACACATGTGCAAGAAAGAGAGGATATGAAATGTAAAAACTAACATTGATCCACCATTAAGGTTGAGAAATCAGGCAGTCAAAAGTCAAGACATTCCAAAACCTAAGTTTTCTACCACCATATTTTTTATAGTCATGTTGCACAATTTGTCTGGGTCTTTTTGGTAATGGCAAAATAACATTAAGGTTTATATTTAAAAAGGAAAACAGGAATAGGAAATACTATGTTGTGCAATGTAGCCAAGTGAACAGTGAGGTACAAATCTTAACTGTTGGAACTTCCTGAGGTTTTTGGTGCCTTACAGCTCAAGCTTAGAGAGTGGTCCTTACTCAGTAGAGCTGCCACTCTATGTACCTAGAATCAGATTAAATGACAAAAAGTTTCATCTGCAGGGCCAACTGTTCAAATATTCTCTTCAAAATACGTCCCCAATTACACCTGTACAATCCCACTGATGGCCATAGCGTTGTATAGATGTAAGAGAGTATGGCATTTGGGCTGCAGATTATGGAGACAATGCACAAACCAGAAAGAACACAACTTAATATTCAGAACCTAAGCTGAGTGTGCAGGGCTGGGAGTTAGAACAGCTGTGTTGCTAACCTCTTACTAGCACAAATTTGTTCTGGAGCGATTGAGACACAAGTGTAGAATTCGACAATACTAATTTTACAAAGACACTTCAGAATAAAGCCATATTTTAACGATGAATTAATTGTATTTTTGTACATAATTTCCCTGGGGATTTTACGTCAAAATAGAAATGCAAAAATAAGGGAAAGAGGAAAAAATATACAAAGTCACAACACACTCGTAACAGACTCA